GTGGAAAGAAAAACGCGTCTTTATCAAAATCAGAGCAAACAAGAGAAGTAATTCCTTAGGTTCATTTAAATTAAATCTATCTCGAGACGAAATAAATCAAGTAGTAGGTATAGCAAATATAGGAATAAAATAATATAATAATATAGCAAATAAAGGAAGACGACATAAAAAGGCAAAACATAAAAACAAGCCCAAAAATTCTGATGACTGCAGTGGCGGCGGGATCTTTAGCACTCAGCAAAATTTGGAATCTAAGAAATATTCAGATGAAATTTTCAATGTGGATTTTAATGTTCAAGAAATTAATGACAAAACTGAGAAGAGGCACAGGTCGGACAATACTCCAGAAACAGACAGAACAAATAGTAAAAGGCAAAAGAATACTACAATATCACCTACAAACATAAGCTTAACTGATGCAGTTGATGAAAGGTCCACTTCGAAATCTTGTAATGGAACCCAAATGGTCAACATGGTCTTAAAAGCTATTAAAAATATAGAATATGCAATGGAAATAGGTGGCAAGAGCGAAGCGCATGATGAAGAAACTAGTTAAAATATAAAAAAGTGCTAAACTGTGGAAATATTGAAAACACTAAAATCGCATATCGAATGGGTGGGTTTGCTAAGGCCAGAACGCACTACTGCACAAATATACTGCTGTCACAGAGCATATGCCTACAACTCAGAGAAATAACATTATTACGAAACCATGGACTAGACTGCTCGTAAGAAAATTGGAAACTATTGTGAGAATGACTGATTTTATTGATCGATACTATTAGACAGCTAAAAGGAAATATAAAGGACAGGGATGTAGAAGGAAGGTTTAAAAATATTATCTCACTTAAAAGTTTAATAGTAATACTGCAGTCATAGTAAAACGCAATAAAAGAAATTAGATCTAGAAAATAAGGGTGATTTTAAAGTTAAGGAAGTAAATCCCATGTTTATGCTGATTGGAATTGAAAAAGGACATACGAATGCAATATTTATAGATGAACTCGACTCAACCGAGAAATTAATGCATTAATTGAAAGAGAAAAAATTAACATTATTGCGAAAAAAAGTTGCAGAAATCCTCTAAAGGAGAATTGGATACTGAAAGCGCCCCCTGCAACAGCACAGTGGTTTTATAAAAATAAGAATAACTTTCGACATAGTTATAATTTTTGCGCAAGAAGATATACATGTGTCTATGTGTTTTAAATGTTATGGTTTTGGGCACGAGGCGAATTATTGCCAGATGAAAAAATGCTGCCATAAATATGGAGGCGAAGATGAAGTAAGATAATATGAAGCACCGGAATTGTCTTGTCCATACTGACAACTGACAACCATAAAGCAAAGCACTCGGCAAGAAGCAATAACTACCCAGTTTGTAAAAGGAATCTACAACGTATTAGGTCGCAAATTAATTATGATGAAAATTTTTAGAAATAAATTACTACCACCTTTTCCTCAAGAAACTGTATCAGTATGGTATCCAGCGGGTGACACTGGAATGGATCAAATCTTATCTAGCAATGCCATATGTACTGACGTGGATAGAATTGTATCTAGTCTTGTCTCATTGGGTGTTCCATAGGGAATAATATAACAGAATTATTTACAGCAGTAGGAAATTGTAAAATAAAGAACTATGCTGACGATACAAGTTTCATATAAGTAAACAATGATATAAATATCCTGAAGAACACAACCATAAGTCTTATGAAAACAGTTGAACATCGGTTTAATAAAAATAAATTACTTTTTGATAATAACAAAACAAATACTATTCAAGACGAACAAGAGGAAAGTAGATGAACCAAAAACGACAAACATCAATGGCTGTGAAGGAGACCTAAGCAATAAGATTAAATTCTTTGGGAGTTTCATTATACATGAAATACGACTGTATAGGAGTTGTAGAGACATTGAAAAAGTATTTATAGTACAAAAACGTGCAATCAGGATTACAAAGTGGACAGTCCTGCAGAGGAAAGTTTAAAGAACTTAATCTCTTTACACTAACCTCAGTGTTCATATAAGAGTGTGTCATGTACTTAAAAAAAAGAGATAATTTTTTGCTGCTAATAAATCACAAAAATGCACAAAAATATTCAAAATCTTTAATGTTCTAGTAAGAATATACACTATACACCAGGGAATAGTTTTACACCAAGATAATAAAATTGTATATATTGTTACTTTGATACTATTTCATGTATGTACATACACTTTAAATAAAGCTATATTATTGTTATCATTATTATTATTACCATCGTGTGGTAAGTGATAAAAAGTACTACTGTGATTACATTGCAAAAAGAGATACAATATGAAGAATGGTAAGATGAGGACATCTAATGCTGAATTGATCCCCCACAGTTTTTGTTTTTCCAGTTTTTTACATAAATTTTGCGTAGTAGCTATCATCTATGCTAATTATTACTACCTAACAGTCTCTTCGAAACGTTATGCCTTTTGAATATATACCTTTTTATTTTTGTAAATCCTTCTTTAACTATATTTGATGTTTTATTCTAAATTAATATTCGAGGACTGAATTTCAATAATCACTCGTTAACACATGATGAGGGCTCAGAAACTTGTTTTGTCGTTACTGAACATATTTTGTCGCCTAATTTAATACTGTTTTTTAAAACCATTTGCCGAGTTCGCCTTTTATTTTTAAAAACTGACCTCGAAAACCGTACGATCGCGTTGCAGCTTGTTTGAGTAAAGTGAACCGATGGAAATGAAAAAGGTCAATTCCGCGTATCTTATTACTTACTTGCATGACAAGCAAAAGCGGGACCGAATAAGGTGAAGTCTCCGGAGGTCGAAGAAGCCGTCTGAACCGTGTAGAGACAACGATATTCGTAGTTATTTGAAAGTACCCTTACGGAATAACCCCGGGGGATATGTCTTCATTCGATTGGATTCTCACTAGACCCCAACTTGGCCTTTTCTGTATCTATCGCTCTATGAAAATTCCGACGGAACGTCTACTCTCCATCTTTGGTTTTTGTATTTCCGGCGATCGTTTTAGATTGACGTTTGTTTTAGTTACTTGATAATGGAAATAAATATAAAGGGGGTTATATTTTTTTTTTGGTCCCTTTTAGTTAGTATCCCTTTAGTTAGTATCCCCTTAGTTAGTATTAGTTGTACATAAAGTACGTATGTGTAGGTTGTAAGTACCCAATACCGAATTGTGCACTGATCATGAGTGTGGAAAGTGTCATTTTAGTCACGATTGAGAGCAATGTTTTCGGTGAATTTAAACCACGTTTAAACTTTGGTGACTTCTGATGATCAGGCCATACTTCATTAAGTGTTCAATGATGGTGTTTTTCTACTCCTACTTCCACTTTAGTCACGTGTTGAAAGCGATTAATATCCAATCGTGAATTTAAACTTTGAACTGGAAATAGTTGGATTTGAATTGGCGTTCTTCAAGTCAAGAACAATAAACATCAATGTCTGCGAAGTAGACCTTAACAATAAGATTAAATTCTTGGAGGTTACATTATATATGGATTTGATTTTGGAGCATGGGTTATGAGACTTTATATATCTGTTAGACTTAGTCACCACTTTTTATAAATTTACTCTTTGATGGTGGCGCTGCGGAGAATAAACAAACGAGCCCGTTTGGAAGTATTTTCTATTTTCTAATTTTCAAGCTACAACAAAGAATTATCCGTGACACTCTTAACAGGTTTTGTGTTGTGTGATTTCGGGAAAATAGCACCAGAACAATATCTGAGAACGAAAGTCGCTGTTTTGTGATGGACCCACAACCAAAAGATATTTGAAATATATCTTTAAAGTATCAAAATTTAAACACTCCATATGAAATTAAGGGCAATTAAATATTATAAAGGGCAAAGCATACGTACATCGCGTTGCCTTCATTCGCAAAACCTGTCGGGAAGTTGCGAATATACGAGGGTCATTTGAAAAATTTCCGACCTCACTCTAAGAATGGCGGCTTTTGTTACTAAAAGCTAGTGATCGTAGTTGTGTTCCTCTTGATAGATGCTTAGGGTCATTTAAATGGCTCCATGTTCGTGAAAATGAATATAGGGCTGTTATAAAAAATTTGTTTTTCAATGGCAATACGCTTACGCAAATTAAAGTTGAGCTGGACTCTGTGTTTGGGAACTCTGGAGCGTCATTTGCCACAATGAAATTTTGGAAAACTGAATTTAAACGTGGCCGTAAGAGCTTAGAAGATGATGGACGTTCGGGACGTCCAAAAACAGTAACCACCGACGATAAAATTGCTAAAGTTCATCAAATGGTATTAACGACATTCGAATTGAAGTAAGAGTGATAGCAGAGATTATGAAAATGCACGAGAACGTGTTTTAAATTGAGATTTAGGCATAAGAAAGCTATCTGCACCTTGGATGTCGCTTTCACCCATGTTGGCCCAGTTTGGGCGCAATAAATCCCAGTTTTGGCAGCGATTACTTACTGTAGATGAAATTTGGATACACCGTTAAACGCCTGAATCAAAAATACAGTGAAAACAGTGGACTGTGACGGAGGAACCCGCGACTGCGAAAAAAACTGTTTTCCCGGCTGGGAATGTGATGTGAAGTTTTTTGGGTTATCCATAGTCATCTTAATCGATTATCTTCAAAAAAGAAAAATCATTACAGGAGCATACTACGCATAATTATTTAACAAATTGAGGACAAAAATTGCCGAGAAATGGCCACATTTGCAAAAAAAAATCCTATTTCACTAAGTCGTTTGATATCTCAACGGTTGCCATGGCGAAAATCCACGAATTACTGTTTAAACTGTTTGATGAATCACCTCACTCACCAGATCCAGCCCCAAGCAACTTCTTTTTTCCGTCATCTGAAAGCTGCGCTCGGAAGACAAAGAATTTCACCCAATGAGGAGGCAATCACATTCGCGAATTTGAACGGGTTAGAAAGATGGGAACATCGCTGGGAGAAGTTCCAAGGACACTCAGTAGAAAAAATGTCTTGTATCATTGTTACGCAAACATGAAACTCATATGAAAACAACGACGCTATTCCATACTTTACTGCCGAATTTGTTTGAAATTTTTTACGCCAGCTCATTAAATTTGAAAATATCCTGGTTTGCTAAGCTGTCAATTGTTTCTAGAAATTATGTATACATATATAGCTGCACAATTTTTACATTGAGTTAAGTTAATAAATAAACACTTAATCGATTTCTAAGCGCACGTCGCGAAAGCGGGTTGCAAGACTTCACATGGTGCTGGGGCCGGAACGTATGTTGGAGGAACCGCGTAATTCGGGTAATAAGGCGCCACCGGTGCTGGAACACTGTAGGGGGCGCATGGTACTGCCGGAGGAACGCTGTACACGAGGTTTTTCTTCGGCCTGATGCACACTCCTCCCTCCGACGGCGGGCAGAGTGGGATACCAGCCAGTGGTTGACATATTTTCTTGCACAATCTCTGTTTGATTTTGAAGATGAGTGGGTATTTGTGAAATAGGGCGATCTTAGGGTTGTAGCAATCTGGAGCAGGTCCCGAGTATATTGGATAAGTGCAAGATGTCACTTCCTGAAATTAAGAAAGGAAATAATAACTAGGTATTACTTTTGTTTAATACAGTATTCTAGATTAGATTCGTTGGGCAATCCAAAATAAGTTTTTGTTATTTTGCATCAGTGACCACAATAATGGATCATAAATATCTCTTAAGATCTCATGATGTCTTTCGAGACCTTCAGCTCGGTAGTAGCCCGCACGTACTGTCCATTCAAAGTCTTAACGATCTTAATATTCATTTGAAGGAATTGCTTTATTGCTTGATCAAAATTTGTTAATTTACTTGTACGTGATGGAGTTAAATGTCAATATAGCTCTTTCGAAATGTCAGTAACAAAAAAAAACTTGCCATGTTGATTGCAAACATTCGGAACGGAGAGCGTACGCTAAGAAGGAGAATTGTGATGAGAGCTAGGACCATGCTGACTAACCAAAAGTCCTAAGATGGTTATTTTTATGAGTGAACCTCTGAAGGATCCAAAGAAAAACTTCAAAAGTCAAAATAACAGTGGAAGGCAACAAATTTATGACAATTTTAGGGTGTGTATCGATCGAACGTTGAGAATTGAAACACCTTACTTGTGGGATTGTTGTGATTGTTAGTTTCATGGGTGCACAGCCTGAAACATCCAAAGAAAAAATAAAAGAAAAATGACGGTGGGTAAAATCGTTGAGGAAGTAAATTTTATTTTAAGTTTTGAGTATAATGTGTTTGGATCTAAGAACGATTATTTGTACTTTTTCATCATTAAGCTGCTAATGTGAGCGGGTGAACTTCTGAAAGATCCAAAGAAAAAATATCAAAAGCAGTGAGTGGATTCGTCGAGGAAGTGAATTACAAAAATTTGGTTTAAATATGTTATCGATATAATAATGATCCTTGGCACTCATGGAAAGCTGATAAGTTTTTAAGTTTTTTCCACATCACTTTAAACTTATTTTAAATTACTATTCTATTGTTATATTTTACAGCTGAATGATGTAATTTTTATTTGAAACAAAATAATTCTACATACCAAAAGAACTACACAAGATATCACTACCGCGACAACTCGAATCGAAGTCATCGCTTCTGAAGGGAAAATTTTCGGAATAAACCGTTGAATATTTAGGAGTGGAGTACTCGGAAGCGACATCCATCTTGCTTATATATAACGAAGAAAATCTTTGCGAGAAAACTGCGAACGTGCCAGACCGAAATATCAAAAATTACTTCCGTTAGTAAAAACGTGACCCTAGGATTGCCCGAACTTGAATTTGTGCTTCGTATTTGTTTTTTGTTTTAGCAGAGGCAGTTAAATATTTATCACTCCCATCGCGTACTTTAAATATTTACTATTCGGTTTCGAAAACATTCGCCGCCAACATCCAGCGGACGTAGTTTTAACGCCGGATTAAATTTAAACTAATTAAGAAAACGCAACTTCAAATACAATTTTAATTTACCCCGCTTTCATAAACAGAAAGCCAGGTAATTTGCACTTTTTGATTTTTATTATTTTTACTTTGTTTCCGTTTTTCTATGAACTTGTGGAGGTTTGCTTTTTAATCTCGTCAGTTGCATGTCAGTAAATTTGACGTGGGTTACATTTCTAAAGGCAATTTTTACAATATCTTATAAACAATTCCTGCAACCTCAACTTAAGCTTCGGTATACTTTAATATTCACAAGTTTATTGATAAAGTAAAGTTAAACTTAACCTTAACCGTAATATTTTCGGCAGATTTTATTAGAAAAGTGTAAAGTGAAATCCCTGGTTTATCCCATCGGTGTAACACTGTAAAGAAAACGAAGAAATAATTGTGTCGATATTTGTCCCAAAAGAAGGAAATTTGAAGATGCCTGCGTACATATAGTTTCGAAATTGATCCGATCAAATACCAACAATTATTAATAATTAAATAAATGATTTTTTTTCCATTTTCCATTCCTAAATGTCAAAATTTAAAAAATGATGGGTTATTGGAAGTGTCTAATCACAAGTTCGGCTTCATGATTTCATTGATTTTCTATAAAGGCGTTTTACTGGTTTTATGGTGGTACTTTCTTCCGACAGTGATCGAGGTTATCAATTCTCCATATTGGTAGTATGTGTCTGGTTTGTGATAAAAGGCAAAAAGATTGTTTCCTATGACAAATCAAAATAAAGTGTACTGGGTGGCTCGTTTATTATACGAATCTATCAAATATATCAAGAAAAATTAAAGGCATTCACGTATACTTTTAATAAATTATATCATTGAATATAAAGGGTGGTTTTATTTCCGTGGATAGGTAGCAGCTTTCTTATTTTAAGTGCAACACCCTGTATACTAAGTACTTTTTGAATTCTTCGACATGTTTCTAGTCATATTTCACGTATAATATATTATAGTTAGGTCTTACCATGTCTGACATACTCTTTGTTTTATGTCAAAACTGACGTTTGCAATATATATCTATCGATTTCTCCGACTAAAGGCCTTTCTTATATATTTGGGGTTGATGATTAATTCCTTTATAGAAATACTTTAGAATGTGCTTTAATGGTCTGTGTTGATATTTTTAAAACAAATAAATACCGGGTGATGAAAAAGTAACATTTTTTATAGTCGTCCACAAGTTGTTGGGTACAGCTTGGAAAATGAGGACAACTTATGTGAAATATTAATTTAACAAAATCGCGATTCATTTATGAGGGCCATATTAAAAGTTCTTATTAGATGTTTGTTTTTCTTGGAGGGGGATGGGCGCTCAATTTTAGAGCATTTTAGACATGCAGGTAGTGTAGTTTTAAGAAATTCTTGGTTACTTTTAAGAGAAAAAGTTCATTTAAATTGTGGTTTAAAATTTTTGGCATATATTTTGTTTATATTTTTATCAAAATAAAATCCGAAGTACTATTATTATCTTATGTCCACGCAAATCGGTGTTTTACATTTTCACAATTAAAATTTGATATGAGTAGAGCTGCAACTTATTTTAAATGGTATACCCCTCTAACTCTTTTACTTTTTTTACTTTTACAAAGCAAAAGAAAATAGATTTTTTTAGCAACTTGCAAATAGCAAAACACTAAACTGTTTTGAAAACTGGATCATAAATGTCAAATATCAAAAACACATTTGTTTAGTTTAAATAATTTTTATTAATAACAAAACTTTCCTTGACGTAATACCACTTACTTAATTCACTTATTTAGCATTTTTTATACGCTTGCGCGGCAAGTAAATAGCGTGTTCATAAAATCTATTATCGCATCTCCCGATACCAAGAATTCGGTTCTGGTGGAAGAACACAAATCGAGTGTTTATTTGTATTTTTAAATTACACACATGATTTACGAATGATTGAAAATTCAGTCGAGCATTTAGAGAGCAATGGCTTGTCTTTGACAGTTCGTTTCGTTTTTGCGTTTGTCAGCGCTTTCATCGCGACCCCGCTAAATAAATTCGATTGTTCTTTTTATAAATTTAAATTTAAGTAAAACGTCGAAGAAGATAATAACGTTCGTCTAGTTTCTAGGTAGCAGATGAAAAAAAAATTCGCCAATTCACGGTGTTTGGTTGATTTTGGTTGATCTATCAATATTATTAATACATAGTTGCTTTGATTGGTTTTGTATAACGATATGAATTCGTTTTATTTGTATTATATTTATATCGACAGAGAAAATTGGTTGAAATTGCTATCTAAGTGGAAAATATTATGTAATAATCTAGAAATTCATATTAAGACGAAAGGAAGAGTTCAATGGATCCAGAGTCCCATTACAACAGCATCGCGGAAAATTACTTTACAGCACAAAGGAAATAATTTATCTAATTTCTTTTGCCGATTCCATGATATCTTTCCCCTATTGGCAAAATTTCTTGAGAAAGTTGACTATGTTTTGGTTAACCAAATGAATTATTATATTTTACTGTTGATGGGAAAAATATTATATAAAAATGAAATATATCTACTTAAATGTGGGTCAGTTTTGTTATCTTGAGAGATATCGGACAAAATATTGTTCATTTACTCGCCTAGCTCATTTGACAGCCTAGAACGATCAATTTACGAGGGGGTACCCAAAAAAAAAAACTATATATTGTTTTGAAAATCACAGAACGACCCTATCGCCTTCAAAATACTCTCCATTACAACTAATACATTTGTCCCAGCGGTGCTTCCACTGTTCGAAACATTTTTTATATTCATCTTTGGCTATAGCCGACAGCTCATCCCTCGTTTTTTTCTGGACCTCTTCAATGTTGTCAAATCGCTGTTCTTTCATGTCCCTTTTCATGCGTGGAAATAAGAAGTCACATGGAGCGAGATCAGGCGAGTAAGGTGCATGGGGCAGAGGAACCATGCAATTTTTAGCCAAAAACTGCTTAACAGAAATGGTCTTGAGTGCAGGTGCATTATCGTGGTGAAAGAACCAGTCCTCTGTCCGTCACAAATCGGGTCTTTTTTGTCGAATACTGTTGCGTAATCTTCTTAAAACTTCCAGATAAAAAGCTTGATTAACGGTCTCACCTGGTGGAACGAACTCTGCATGAACTACGCCGTTGATGTCGAAAAAGCAAATCAGCCTCGTTTTGATGTTTGATTTGATCTGACGACATTTTTTTGGCTGGGCTGTTGCTTCGTTTCTGGATCGTGTACTATGCAAGCTCTGCGCGCGGCAATTCAATTCCGGTTTTTTATGGGTACCCCCTCGTACATATTTCAGTGGAAAATACAAATACCCGAAGTAAGACGTAGTTAGCTAGCTAGTCTCTTACTAGATTTTTCAACACCTTTCGTGTAGTATTGTACAGTAACATTATTATCTGAAAGGGGGGAAAATCTAGTTTTAACCAGATATTGAGTAATTTGGTTTCCCAAATTTGGTCCAACTTTCTCAAGAAATTTTGTCTATATAGCGGCGTCACGACTTGGGAAGAACTGAAGAATAGTCAAGAACCGATCATCGGATTACCAAATAAAAACAGGTAAATTATTTGAAACCCCATTCTTTTTAAAAATAACTTGCTCCATGCTTCCTGTTATTCCTCTTCTTTGAAAATATGTCTGTATTGAATTATCAATCAAATCAAAATCATTTTTCGCGATGCTGACCTAACGGGGCTCCAGATTGGCAAAAAATGAAACGTCTTATATTTTCTTTAGTAGCTTCGGAACCTGATCAAAATTTTGAACAGTGCAAAATGGTCCTAAGGTTTAATTTGGGCCGGCGTTGCGGGCGTTGATTTGAAAATAGACGGATCCTTTTCGGTCTTGTATATTTCCATTAAGGAAAGTGTTCAGTATTCCTGGAAAGTGCGGATTCCGCACCCGATCCTGTTAGTTGTTCCATAAAAGGAAATCCCTTAAGGACGTGCATCGCCTTTTTTGGATTACTTTGCCGTTTTCTCGTGGATAGAACGATCGTACTGGGGTCACTTTAAATATAATTTTTTTCCGCATCCGTATCGGTTTCGGTAAGTTCTGATCTCGCGAATGACGTTAAACATCGACTTTGTTGCTTAGGGTAAAAAGTTTATAACATACAATCGAATGTAGACCACAAATACTTTTCATTGGTTTATATTTTTTAGTTTATAAAATATTTTATATTTATTATTCTAAAATTTATTAATTCAGTCAAAATTACTTTTCAATCTGCTTTTTTATGACAATTTGTGTACGAAATATGACCCCCTGTAGCGACGCCACTATAAAAAATATTTAAATTTTGTCAGCAGTAACTTATATGATCCTATGTTGTTATGACTATAAAAATGATTACTATTGCATTATTTCAAATGTTATACTAACGCAATTCCAAAAATAGCAAAAATATATATCAAGTGAACTATTGAATTTAAGGATAATCCATTTCACAAAATAAAAATTAACTCCAGGAGTGGCTAATTAATACTAGAATAACTTGATTCTGTACTTAAACTTGTGTAGCTCACTGGATATTCTCCTTACATTTATCTGCATTACTCATTCCATTTGCATCATATAGTTAATACTTTTGATATTTAGTTTCTTTAAGCGAAAGGATACTAAAATGTAAATTTTGCAACGTCAAGAGCCATTAAACCAAACCTTCTTAGTTGGAAAATGCTTGTCTGTGATATATTTTTCTTATAACCATCAAATTTCTGAACAAACGTCGGGAATCTGATAACGCTACGTTGATGATTCTTTATTTGGCTTTGTGGCCAAGAATCTATCCGAAATGTTCGTAGCTATTTAAACTCTATACACTTTTAGATATTCTTATCTGTATCGTCCCGATAAGGGATTTATGAATTATGCAAACTCCTTTTTAAATTACTATACATATATTATTTCGCGGTTTTTTCGCGCTCAAAAAATGACGACTCTTTTTACTTGCGGCCGGAGACAAAGGTCAAAACTTTTAAATCGATCCACACGGACTCTCTCTTTGATCGACCGTCGAACCGAACGCATCACGGACAATTCCAAAATGTAAAGCAATTAAAAAGTGCCGGTACGTGTAATACCCGCGGGTGCAGAGAACCAGCAACCCCCTTCAAGGGATCAAGGTAGGCCGCACCCTTTCGGAGTCGTCATTATATCGTCGATCTCGAGAACTTTATTAAAGGGAAAATCAAAAAATAGCAACCAGCCCAAATACAGTCCACTCAGATTTTCGTACATTATCAATAGAAAATCAGACCTAACATTGGGTCATTCTGTTTACAAGAAACTTTCACACTCACACCGATACCTAAACGCATTGTAACATGAGCATCCGGCCTAAAAATTAACGGCTATCAACTCTCTTGTTAATAGAGCCGTGAAACTATCTCAACCCGAGTCACTTTACCTTACATCTTCCCTCTAATTATTTCCGCATAAGAGATATTAAGTGTTCCATCACAAAATACTCTTCACCACAACTGTTCAAAGACAAGGAACCTCACACTTGCCACTAAGCAACCAATCTTAACCGCGACTCAGGTCTTTACCTTTCACGTATATCATCCGGGACAATGTTCACGGCCCCCTCAAACAATATATAAGCAGATTTAGAGTAAAATGCGAGCCAGTTTTAGATCATATTGACATTGTTGACAATAAACAATAAAATAAATAAATTTAATTTGGGTATCTTAAACGGTTTCAGAAATAATAGTAAAAAACATTTGACGCCCCTTTAATTCAACATCTTCTGGAGGAAGCATTGTCTGATAGATGTTTGTTAAACAAACTGATACTATTTCTTAATATTCGATTTACCCCAGAAACGCTCAGTATTCAGGATCATCAATTTTGTCTCGGTGGAAATGGAGGTTTGCGTATTTGATATTCGACTTCCTTAGCAAAATGTGCATAAACTTCATGTCCCCAAAAATCTAAATCTAAATTTTAACTTAAACTTATAAAGAAAATATTTTTTGATTAATTAATTATTATATAATGAGAGAGAAATAACGTTTTTCTTTTTTTATTTAATCTGGTTTGCAATTCTGAAACATTTGACTTTTGGAAATCCTCTCCCGAAAGTAAAATATTCGTAATTAGGTTCTTCAGTTCGAGAGACTCTATTACGGAGTTGGTAAATGTTTTATTTACTTTTTTAATCCATTTTAAAAATTCGAAAAACAAAATAAAATAAAAGAATGATTATAATAATTATAATTATAATAATAATAGTAATAATTCGAATTGAGAACCATTTCACCAAAAATGCATATGTTTCATAAACGCCATCTTTAAATTTCTTAGATATTTTTAAGAAGCCTTAAGCAACAAGTTTTTCCAATATCCCACCACAAAAGTGACCAGAGAGATATATCAAGATGAGGATGAAAAATCAAATCATTTTGAAATAACTTAATAATTTATTGAGACATTAACTGTTAACGTTTCAAAACCTTAGTTGCCATCGGGGTTACCGAGCCATGGATATTTTGATGGGCAAGTGACGCAAGACTTCATGTATCTGTCTTCCTGGTCTTCATTGACGAGCTTGCAAGTGACCGCCCTACAGCTGGCTGATCTGTCGTCGTACACATGCGTCTTAAACTCAGACAACGGCACGGGATCTTCGATCCACTCGATAACTTGCTGTAGATTGATGAAGAATACGTCTTTCAGATCGAGCAGCCTGTCCACGGTTTTCTGCAAAGCCTCGAAAGACGTCTTCGTTTTCTCGAACCAGTTGGACTCGATTACGATCGTCAGAGGTGCCCTGTTGTTGTTTCTGACTTTTTGCACTTCGTTGAATAACCAGTCTGATATTTCGTCAACGGTCCCACTACAAGAAACATTTTTAGGAAAATAGAAAAAACAGTGGCAAACGATAAGTTGTAAAATAAGGGAAAGATGCAGATTGTATTTTATTTGATTGGCGAGATCTGTGGATCTGGATTTTTCCTTCTTCGGGTGTCGATCTTGCTGAAGTTTTGCCAGACATGCTGCTGGGTTCTTCTGAAACTGTCAGTTTCAGAGAGCGCTCCGAAGAGGCCATGCTACTGGCGAAACGTCAGCAAGATCGGCATCAGACGAAGGAGAAATCCAGAAGATGTCTACCTACAAGTTTCACAGCCTGCGGAAGTTTCTTTGAAAAATTATCAACTATATTTTCCAACACTTTTTTTTTAAATTTTGGTATTCACAGTAACTTTCCTATAGATAGAACGTTAGAACAGAAAACAGCCGAAAAATGGCCATTTGTCCTTAGAGGCCACCCATTCGTCTGTATTACTAAATAGTGTAGCCATCCAAGTATATGTAATATGCAAAAGTAACAATCCCGGCTTTTTCAAATGAATTTACTTCAATGCTAGTTCAAGCCGATATGCAAAGAAAAGCAGTGGAGGAAGAAGCGCACGAAATTCTTCCTCAAAACCATGAGGTATCATCGAAATGCAATACAAAAACTGCAAACTACTGAAAAACCGGGGGAGACTTTTGTAAGAATCGCTGTGGATGGATGGCCTGATGCGGCGGACAGTCCATTTGATGAATGGGTTTTTATTTATTGCAATTTTTATTTTTTTTAAGTTAAATCAATAATATCTGCCCAATATTTTGATTTTTTAGCAATGATAATGATCATTAATCATTAATATATATATATATATATATATATATATATATATATATATATATATATATATATATATATATATATATATATATATATATATATATATATATATATATATATATATATATATATATATATATATATATATATATATATATATATATATATATGATGACACTATACTCCGGGATATCATCCGTTCGCTCGTTGAACTCCGACTGGAATCCTGCAAATCCTGCATCCGACTGGAATCCTGCAGACGTTTCGCCAAAATCTCACTTGGCATCTTCAATGCTCGCGCTCCGAAAACACTTCGAACACTGCGCGAGCATTGAAGATGCCAAGTGAGATTTTGGCGAAACGTCTGCAGGATTCCAGTCGGATGCAGGATTTGCAGGATTCCAGTCGGAGTTCAACGAGCGAACGGATGATATCCCGGAGTATAGTGTCATCACATTTTTCCATCCGTGAATCAATACGTGAATATATATATATATATATATATATATATATATATATATATATATATATATATATGTATATATATATATATATATATATATATATATATATATATATATATATATATATATATATATATATATATATATATATATATGTAGTAGAGAAAAAATCCCCATGTGTGCTAAAAATTTATTCAAAGTCAAAGTCAAAATGTTCAGATTTCTGTATTGATTTTTTTACTCGAGATTACGTACCAATCCTGAGATATCAAAAATTTAAAAGATGCAGTTGTTACATTTTGCACACATGTCCCACTTGCATATCTAGTCAGGCACTTAATTTAAGCAAAATGCCTTTCTCGTTGTCTGATGTATAGGGTGGGCCGTTTATCTTGGGACCTTGTCTCAGAAACTGTAGGGAATGGAGCCAAAAGTTAAATACAAAAGTTAATTGGGTTATTACAAGCCTTCATTTTATTTTATTATTGTATATACAGGGTGTATCATTTTTCATGGGCGAGTATCAACTTTCTTCTTTTAAATGGAATGCCTGGTATATTACTGACATTTTTAATTTTTTATGAGAAAAATGAACCTTGCAAGACTTCAAATATCTGTCCATTTCTTCATTTGGCAATATTTATTGTTAAACTTGGTTTTGTTGTAGACAAGGGACTCGAATAACGGATTTCACAAGAAATTTCGTACATAATAATACAGGGTATACGAAAAATAACATTAAGAAAGCAATTAATATATTTATCAAAAAAAAATTTTTTTTAATAGAAACTACCCAATTTCATAATCTTGTCATATTTAGCATTAAAAATTAATGCAATTTTATATAAAGTTATATATGCCTACTATTTTTACTTTTTGAAATATTTCCTTTTAAACATTTGTCACAAATAATATGCTGTTGCCATATAAGTTCAGTTAGTGTAAGGTGGCTATGACGGCGTTTAAACAAGAATGCTAGAATGCGGCTTGCATATTATGTTTACCACAGAAAAAAAGATTGATATGTTAGAAAGTTACATATTGTATAATAAAAACAGATTTATTAGATTACATTAGAAAATTTCCATTAAGGAGGCGCCCATAAAAAAAGATCTTCGACAGGATTTACCAACACTTTAGAATATATGGAACTTTGAAGAAAGAAAATAATAGACGTCATATTTTGAATAACAGAGAGCAATTTAATCTTGTTCTTTCGGTGCCATATCAGGTCCCCTTAACGTTGGCAATCATATTGGCGAGTTGATCACGGTTTTCGGCTAATCTGAATAGTTGTTCGGGACTGCGTATTCCGGTCCAATCGCAAATGTTCTTTAGCCATGCCATTTGTTTCCTTCCAACACCTCTGCGACCTTCGATTTTGCCTTTCATTATGAGTTGAAGGATTTTGTAGCGGTTCCCTCCACGAACATACCTAAGGTACGATATTTTTCGAATTTTGATTTTGTTAAATAACTCACGGACGGCACTTGCTCTATTTGGTCTGCAGAGCGGTCCATGGTATTCGGAACATTCTTCTATGCAACCACATCTCGAATGCTTGCAGGCGATTAATAGCATTGGCCTTGAGAGTCCAAGTCTCAGCACCGTATAACGACACAGACCAAATATTTGAGGTTTAAGTTATCATTGCAGAAGAATGGTTTCATTTTCATAAAACTTGTGCCAGCTGTTTCTATTTTGCATTTGAGCAACTTAATATTTTGTTGCATTTTGCTGAGACTACTGAAGAATAAACCCGAATCTGTTAAAAATGTCATTATGGATTTAAAAACCCTTTATACTGCTTGTATTGCTCAAAGGGCCGGACATATTGAACAACTGTTATATTAATTATTATCCTTCATTAACAAAAAAAATCACCAACGTTATCGCTTATCCTTGGTCTTATTTTGTATAAATAATGCATACATAATCTTTGGTTCTTCATCAGAGCATTGGCAAGATTATGGTCAACTATGAAATGGTAAATCATAGTGGCAGCACTTTAGAACTTGTTTTGTTCAAACGTCGTCATAGCCACCTTATGCCAACTGAACTTATATTGCAACAGCGTATCATTTGTGATACACAAATGTTCAGAAGGATATTCAAAAAGTAAAAATATTGGGCATATACAAGCTTATATAAAATTGCCTGAATTTTTAACGATAAATATGACCAGATTATAGGAATGGGTAGTTTCTATTTAAAAAAAGTTTTTTGGCAGTCTTTTGAATTTCATTTTTAATCTTAATTTTCCTGCAAACGTCATTTTTCGCATAAAAAATTGAAAATTTCAAAAACGGTTGTACGTAGGTAGAGGGCATTATACACGAAATATGTCTAGAATTTTGTATAGAATTACAACTGAAGTAGTGTACCAGGTGTTCCATTTAAAATAAGAAATTTGAGACTCGCCCACGAAAAATGAAACATCCTGTATATACAAAATTAAAATAAATTAAAGATTTGTAATACCCCAATTAACTTTTATATTTAACTTTTGGCTCCATCTCTTAAAGTTTCTGAGATAAGGTAGTGTCCCAAAATAAACGGCCCACCCTATACATAAACTTGTGTGTGAGTGTTAAAATATTCGCTATAAAGTCAAAGAAAAATCAGGGTGAAACATTGGTTTACCTGACATCGCAGGCACCCAAACTGTTGCACTGTTTATCTTCCGCGCCATTCAAGTCGACGATGGGCAGGATCCAGAATCCTTTGAATGGTTCGTTGGGACATGTAGCACCCAATTCGCAGTCTTGACTCGACAGATAGTCGAGCGTGTACGGTAGCAAAGGCCTGTTGCTTTGGGTGGGCCAAGAGCTGTCGTACTTGAAACCAGCGTCCACGAAAGCGCTGATTGAGTAGTTACCGTTGAGCTGCAGTTGTGGGGTCCTCACTCCGATGATGTCTTTTTCGGGGATGTTAGCGAATTTGGAAATGATCTTCTTTTGGCCACCAAATTCCTGTTCGAGTAGTTCTTGGGGGGCGTTTCTCCAATACGATTGCAAATTGTTTTTCCTTTGAAATATTTAGAAGCATGAGAAATTGTAGTATATACAAAAAATCTTGCGTTCTGAATATTAACAAACTTTTTAGCTGCGAGTCGCAAAAATGCAATTTCTGCCAATCACAATTTAACGGAACTTACGTTATAGAATGTACTCCAATTTCGAAACCATAGTTATAAAGATCGTTAACCCTTTCGTAGTCTGTATATTCGTGGGGCACAAAAAATGTTGCCCCAACAACATTGCCGTCGGGATTGATTCTATTAAACAAGAGAGGGTCCCAGTATGTGTCGAACAGGTCCTGAGTAACGGCTTCAAAGAAAGTTAGGGCAATGAGCTGCAAAAGCACATATTCAAATTTCGATAATGAAATAAGGTAAGAAAATCACCAGTATTTTAACTTACTTGTGGAGCTTGGTCTTTCGCAACCGGATTTGCAGTAGACGAACATCTACATTCTTCGTCGATTTTGCAAAGGTCGTCCGAACATTGCTGTGCTACGTCTCCAGAGAAAACTGAAGGGGCACACAAAGCTACGGCAAAGATCACTGCTAACGCTCTCATGCTGAATATTTCTGGCAAATACTAGTCGTTCAATAGCAGAATGTACTTTTATATATGCAATTGTTTGCATGGTGTCTACTATCTAAACTACGATAAGGGGAACCCTCGAAAGTTGTTTTCCAGATAGTATCTTTTAATTCGTTAAGAGCGATTGCTTCCTGAATTTATGTTTGTAAGATTTTGAGATTTTTTGTTCTTGAATGGATTACGCGTATCGAATTCGCTAAGGATATGGGTGTCCGTGTAAATATTCAGTTCGCAAAGAAGGATAACTTGGCATGAATTCAATGGAAAACATTCTATTGACCGGTACCCATGTTTGTTTAACTTTGTTTCACGAGTTATGCTCGGTCTCAGATAATCGCAAAACCTACGTTTAAATCTAAATACATATACATATATATACATTAAAAAATCGTAAATATTTTTTTTTGTTAGAAATCGATTCGAAATAATTCAATACACGCTGAAAAGTTTATATTGATGGACACATTAACTTTAACCGAAATTATGGTGATATTATTATACAGGGTGTCTTAAAATTCAGTACAAAAATTTTAAGGCCGTATTTATCGGGCACGGTTAAGTTTGTTTTTTCATGTCCTCATTTTCTTCGCTTTTGAGATGCAGTGTGTCCAAATTTATAGAAAAAAATCTGTTTTATATTAATTACTGACAGCCTTTTCAGATGATGTCGGCAAAACTTGACACGCTTGTTTGAGATGACGAAGGTATTGATTTTGTTTAATTAAAATAGAATTATTTGAAAATCATGTTTTTTCTTGAAGATTTAATATTTTTTTAGATCCAACAATCAAAAATCAAACTACGTAAAAATTGATTACAAAGATTTTCTTAAAATTGCATACTCATTAACGGTCATCTGTGTTTTTCTATTTCTTCTTTAATTTTGGTTAAATTTGGTAGTTCGCGGGACCTTATTAGTTTTTTTAATCCATGTGCATAAAGGAACGCCAATTTAATTTTTTTTAACGAAGATACGAAAAAGGTAATGAGCAAAAAAATTATTTTGGATTGCACATTTTTCACTGTAATTTGACATTCTGTATCTTCAAAACGAAGCAAATTAAAGCACATGTCTATACGAAAAAACTAATTTATTTTTTTCTGATAAATATGTCTGTCAGATCTTTATGTTGAATTTTTTAAATATGATTTTATATTTGCAGTATTAGTTTGCTGGATAAATGACATATGAAAGTGAGAATATACAAAAAAAAAAACAATCTTTTCATATTTTTAAATTCAATAATTATAATTAGTTGAACTAATATTAATTAATAGTATTTGCAGTTTTAGTTTAATTTTAGTGATTTTATGGTCCTTTGGTCAATCAATTTAATTGGCTAACTGAAACTCTCGAGTATTTAGAGTTTTGGCATCTGCACTTCATGGAATTAGGTATGAATGAAGATGACCTAAATGCCCATATTTATGGCTGCCGCTCCCTGATGGGAAATTATTTAAAATGACCGCGTGCCATGTTTCGTGTGTGACCTGATAAATATTAAAAAGCAACAAAAAATCGTTATCGCACACCCGATCCAGACTTTTCTGAGTCAGCGAAAACGCAACGCGAAGATATAATCAAAACGGAACATTCAATTTGCGAATTCAACCCCTTAAAAGCCGCCCTCGCGACTGCAGGGTTGCATTCAATGATTCATTACCTTTTGTTACTTTGATGATTCATCGCGTTCCGACTACGATTTAAACGTTTGGGGTTTTAACAATATTAAATAAGTTTTTAAATATCGATACTAATATCGATATCAACATTTGTGCAGTAGTGTACACTCCGACTTGGCAAACTAAAATGTCGTTTCGGAAAGTACAAGATTGTTGTCTACTTTTGTAGATCCTAATTATATGCCACGCTTTTTAAATAATTTTAAACACGGTAAATCTTGGTTTTAAAATCTCGTAACGCAGTTGTGGGATTTCACATTTCGATATTATTAAAACTAACATTAAGAAACAATTGAAGTTGTGAAACTTTTGGTTTAAAATAGAAGACGTCCGTCTATTTTTCAGTGATAGCTTTTTCAATCATGATTTTTTTTTACTATATGGGAATTCCACTCAATTGAATTCATTTATTATTTAATAGACGCAAATATTTAGAACTAAACAAAGAATTTCGCCATTTCTACTTACATGAAATAAATAATATCTAAATTATTCAGACTTTAATATTTAACAATGCGTCATAAGTTACTTATTACTTATTTGTTTGAACTTTACTGCTTATTTGTCGTTCTCCTGATATCGCCCGCTACTATCCATTTACGTAATATAGGGTGTTTTTTTCTCGATGTATAGAACTTTAAGTTGGCCTTACTGTTCAAGATGGCGACCGATTTAACAGCTGTTAAGTGATTTATTCTCAGTTTAGTTTGGCAATTCATCATGAATAGACTCACGCCTGAACGACGCTTGCAAATAGTGCAATTTTATTTCGAAAATAATGGTTCTGTGCGCACTACGTTCCTTTTATCGTCGACAAAATCGTCCATTAGAGCAGTTAATTCGATTAACCATGGAACGTTTTCGCACCACGTTTACTCTTATTAATAACTCGCATCCCCAGAGACGCCGTACGGTGCGTACGTAAGAAGCTATTGCTGCTGTAGAGCGTAGCATTGAGGAAGACCCGAATGAGTCCATCCGCCATCCAGCACAGGAATTGGATCTGTGTCCATCCACTTTATGGAAGATTTTGCGGAAGGATCTTGGTTTACGTGCTTACAAAATCCAACTCGTGCAAGAATTGAAGCCAAACGATCATCAAGTAATCGTCGAATGGGCCCAAAACGAGATTGCCGTTGTTCCCGATTTTCATAAGCGAATTATGTTTAGCGATGAAGCGCACTTCTGCTTTAATGGCTACGTCAACAAACAAAACAGCCGCATTTGGAGCGAAGATAATCCGCAAGTGTATGTCGAAACACCGTTACATCCAGAAAAACTGACTGTACTTCTTCAAAAACGATGATGGCCAGAACGTTACAGTCAATGGTGATCTGTATAGAGCTATGATTACTAACTCTTTCATTCCTGAATTGAATAACCATAATGTCCAGGAGATGTGGTTTCAACAAGACGGCGCAACATGTCACACAGCTCGTGCCACAATCGATTTACTGAAAGACACGTTTGGTGACCGCCTAATTTCACGTTTTGGACATGTGAATTGGCCTTCAAGATCTTGTGATTTAACACGGCTAGACTAATTTCTGTGGGGCTATGTAAAGTCATTGGTCTATACGGATAAGCCACAAACGCTTGACCATTTGGAAGACAACATTTGCGGTGTTATTGCCGATATACGGCCGCAAATGTTGGAAAAAGTCATCGAAAATTGGACGTCCGGATTGGACTACATCCGCGCCAGTGGTGGCGGTCATATGCCAGAAATCATATTTAAAATGTAATATACATACATACATATGTAATGTAATGTAATGTAAGATTATCTTTCGGATAAATAAAATTCATGTCAATCGAATAATCCATCGTTGTTTTATTGCAACCTAAAGTTCTATACATCGAAAAAAAACTCCCTTTAGTTGCAATAATATCGCATCGTCGTATTTAAGGGTACTCAGTAATTAGATCTAATTTTCAGGAAATGTACTGAACTATGTTTTTTTTTTTAATACAGTCAACTACAATACTCCTAAATCTACTTTATTCTAAAATGTGGCGTTCCTTTTTATATTCCCAATTCGTCATAAATAAACAATTCAAATGTTGCCTTTTGGAAAATACTCTTATTTTACTGTTTTGCCAGTGGAGATAACCGTCTATTTCAATCGCAAAAGAAAACAAAGATGGCATAAAAACCGCCAAACCGAGTAGATCGTCCCACGAACTTTCGAAACTTCCGCAACGAGCGTCGTTGCGAAAACTGATAAAGTTCGAACAATTTTTCGTATCTGGCCCAATAACCGGGCGATAAGTTTCTGATTGGGCCATCAACCAAACAGAACCAATATTTCTGGCTCACGACCCTGAAACGGTTATTACAACAACGAATTGGAAATCAATCAAGATCAAGATACAGAAGAAGTTAAACCGGGAGAGAATCGAAAGCTCATTTCCAATTCTGTCGTAATACGTGGGGATTTTTTCGCTCCATGCCTCAGATATAATGATCGGCGTATCAGCTTACGTGGTCAGAATTGTTTGGCATGCGCGACCGCGTTGATTTGCGAAGAAAAACGGGAGAAATTTTCTTATTTGTAGGCCATTTATAGGGGACGTGTTGCGGATACAGAAGATGAGACTGTTTAAATAAAAAACACTTTATCCAACAATGGGGCACTTACCGGAAATTATAGACAGAGTCCAAGAAAATAAAATAATACAAAAAACATATTTCTACTAACGAAAATAGAGATCACAAGATTTCGAGAGAAGAGACACTAATAAATTGCAATAATTTAATACTAAAAAAACCATAAAAAATCAATTTTATGTCGCATTTCGAAAATAATTTAAATTTTTTTGAAGAACCAATGGCCCCAGTTTGTTTTAAATAAAAACATTTACTCGAAAATCCTTAAGAATGCCTCACGTAAGATTTCCTACACCGCAATCTATAAAAGACCTACAAAATAATGAATAAAAATAGAATAGTAATTCAAAATAGTAATTATAAAATATCATTTGGCATTTGCTTGATTGTGTGTTTCCAAATAGCAACCGTTGTTTAATGTTATTAGCTCCGTAATTTTTAATGAAAAATTTAAAATAAAGCGATCTACTTGCTGAAATACACGAAGCAGGGTGGAGAAGCAAGTTAAGATAAACGTACTAAATTGAAAAATTTCAACTAACTTTAACGCTATTATCAATAGTTACTCAAAAGTGTTATAGGTGGGTTTGGAAGACCATATGGAATTCGGAGATTTTGATACCTTATACATTATTATATGTGTTGAAATAAAAAAAATATTTAACAATTAATTGATGTTGAGTAATTGAGTAATGT